TAAACTAGTGAAGATAACACATGAACACATATTGCTGCTACACAGCAGATACATTTCAATTTGCTCTTGCTTTCTGTGTCTCTGCAGATATGAAATTGTGTTTTGCAGGGAGGGAATTGATTGGAAAATGTGTCTGCAATTTTTTGTGTGTTTGTGTTGTTTTCTGGGCTTAGGGTATCTTGAAATGTTGCATCTGTACATCCATCTCTCTATGGGACATTTGAATTTTACGGAGAAGATAAACTTCAATCCAAGTCTTCCTTAAAATAGCTGTTACTGTATAAATGTGACTGTTTCACTTGGGGGGCTGTTTTAATGACATGCACATAATTACTGCTGCTCCCTCTCTCTCTATTCTTTCTATTACTGTGTTTGTTCAAAAAAAATAAACAAGTTTGTGATTTCCCCGCCAGTTTGTCTGCTGATGATGCAGCCTGGAGTGCTGCAGGAGAAGAAGACTCTAGGCAACAGCAGGAAGCTGACATGGACCCTCCATTGTCCCATTCTGTGTCATTTCCTACCAGATCAACTGATTGCCCCTAGAGGAAGACAAGGTGAGGATGTGCAGACACAGACACAAGGAGAAAGCAAGGAACAAAAGAGGATGGAAGAGTGGGGGTAAAAATAATACTGCAAGAGGCCAAGTGCCATTGACAGTTTGCTACCTGGCCATTGTGGCTTCCTGTGTTGAGCCAAACATAAGCATCCAGTTAAGTTGCTAAAAGCAGATAACAAAGCCTTGGGACACACTGCCAAGTTCTTTATCTGTGTTTACCCGCATGGCAAAGCTGATTAGAGAAAGGCAACGTTATGAAGCCCCATTGTTTCCTTTCTCCTTCCAGTTTCTCCTTCCGTACACGGAGCGAGCGCGTGTGCAGGAAGGGTGAATGGGAGGATGTCTATGAGTTCATGAAGAGCGGCAGAATGACAATGGCGTGCAGGCACGACACGTCTCCGGGATGAGAAGAAACAGCAGGCCATTGTTTAAGATCTTCATCATTAATTACCGCCTATCTGTTTGTGCCTCTTGGTGCGTCTGTGAAATACTAGAGGCGTGGTACAAAAAACTTTGACAAACTGTTTTAAACAAATATATACATCTTTACATTTGATTTGTTTCCGCAAGTGAATCTAAAAAATGTAGATTTTTCCAAACAATACAGCAAAACCATCACACAGAGCTCACATAGACAGAAAGTCATAGTGGGCCAAAATTCATCCATATCTTCGCCATAACTATGTCTCCTAAATAATGCAAGGCACTTCTGTTCAACACCCAGCTGTGTCCGGACTCTGCTGCGTCTGCACTATTGTGCACTTCGATTCTAACACTCATGGGCTGGCTGGGGCTCTCACCTTCAAACTTTTCCACACTTCCATCTCTTTGTATCACAGTGGATTGAAATTGATAACAAGAGAGAAATGAAAACCTAAAAAGAAAGATTTATGGGCAGGAGTATATTTTGTGTGTGTTTGTGTGAGAGAGAGAGAGAGAGAGAGAGAGAGAGAGAAAGAGAGAGAGAGAGAGAGAGAGAGAAGAGCAACAAGATGGAGAAAAGGTTAACGATGCTCAGCAGTCTTCCTCTGTGTTTCCCCGCTGCTTGTCAGCTTAATCATCGCAACACAAACTCTGCTTCCGTCTGCCCGTTCCTGACTCCCTACACCAGGGGTCTCAAACTCGCGGCCCGCGGGCCAATTGCGGCCCTCGGGACGATATTTTGTGGCCCCCGCCTTCATATGAAAGTGTAATGTTAGTGCGGCCCGCGAGTTCTATATTGTAGCAACCTCGCTGTTAGCAGCCACTTACAACCTCCACCCCAGCGCCGACCGTTCCGTTCGCCGGTCGGACCGTCAGTGTCATCCCCCCCGTCGGCCATAATGGTCTGGCCCTATGGCGTTATATTTGTGCCACAATCCTGAGCGCGTAATTGTAAGTTTTGAGCACAGAGAACTATGTTGTAGCAAAGAAAAACATCCCGTGCGCGCAGTTTACTCAGGTGCCCTCTCCACAAACTGGTTTTCTGCGCGCAGGCAGCGGTTGCTGCGCTCTCTCCACCTCTTCACGCTGCGCTCGCTCGACTCGCAGCAGCGTTACATTTGTGCCACAAAACCAACCAATCAGAGAATTAAAGAAGGTCCATTGTGATTGGCTGTTGGTCTCCAATCACAACGCTTCCTAAAGAAGACGAAAACGAGTGATATTAGAAGTCCGGCTAGCCACCATCAGACATGACCGAAGCAAATGATGAGAACAGCAAGTGTTTTAATCCAGGCCATTAGCATTTAGCACAGAATGCTGCAAACTACAACAACTCGCTGAGCTTCCGCGATGCTGTAGGTAGATCTACTAGCGTTGTGATTGGAGACCAACAGCCAATCACAATGGACCTTCTTTAATTCTCTGATTGGTTGGTTTTGTGGCACAAATGTAACCCAGCTGCAAGTCGAGCGAGCGCGTGAGTGAACCGTCGAGCGAGCGCGTGAGTGAAGAGGTGGAGCGAGCGCAGCGTGAAGAGGTGGAGCGAGCGCAGCAACGGCTGCCTGCGCGCAGAAAACCAGTTTGTGGAGAGGGCACCTGAGTAAACTGCGCGCACGGGATGTTTTTCTTTGCTACAACATAGTTCTCTGTGCTCAAAACTTACAATTACGCACTCAGGATTGTGGCACAAATATAACGCCATATGGCCCGCGGTCGGTTGAGGTGGGCTGCATCTGGCCCGTACCTGACTTGAGTTTGAGACCCCTGCCCTACACAATAATTTCGAGAGCGGTAGTTCATAAAATTACTTTCCCTAAAATCAAACCTCTTGGGTCAAGCTGCCACTGCATCCATTGGGAGACAAATCTTGGCTAAGCGCAGAGAGCTTCGTCAGGGCTCACGCTTCCATCCATGGCGAGATATCAATTTTCTGTTTGTGTCAGTCTGCGCTTGCATTAAATATGTGTGTGAACAGGCTTTTCAACCATTGGCGTAAGTCTGCCATTCGCCTGCAGCCCTTTAAGCAGAAACGCTCACGTGTCCTCATGTCCCATGTCCACACAGAGCGCTGTGAGAAGAAGCAAGGGGGGAAATTTCCACGGCATTGGACTACAGTGAGACACGAGCGACGTGACTTAAGAGGAAGGGAAAGAAACTTGGTAATCGAAGCTCACAGCCTTTGAACTTGGCCCGATGAGACGGCGGCGACCCAAAGCAAAAGGTTCCAAAGGAGAGCCCACTGAAGATTACTCAGAATACTGATGCAGTGTGGAAGCCAATTCCTTTGAGAGCCCAGAGGACTTTCTGAGAAAGTAAATTATCTGTGTTGTACAAGGCTACATATACACAAATGTATGCTGCATGCCATACACACATTTCAAAGTGAAGTTGTGCGCTCTGGCCACATTTTGACTCAACAAATGAGGTATATGGTCTCTCGGCTCTAATTAGGGCAGCTGTTACCATTTTCATTGTGTGTGTGTGTGTGTGTGTGTGTATGAGAGAGAGAGAGAGAGAGAGAGAGAGAGAGAGAGAGAGAGAGAGAGAGAGAGAGAGAGAGAGAGAGAGAGAGAGAGAGAGAGAGAGAGAGAGAGAGAGAGAGAGAGAGAGAGAGAGAGAGAGAGAGAGAGTGTTGGGGGGGTAGTTTGGGGGAAATATGCTACTGTCTGGCTTCCGCTCTTTCTAATCCAGCTGTTGCGAGTCTGTCAGGGAGCAGAGGTCTACTGGTGTCATGTCCCTCCCCCGAGCATTGAATAATGACAAAACCACACAGAACCAGGTCTCAAGGTAAAGAGAAACTCACAACACATGCCTCTTAGGAACGCTTTTCCCTTTTGTGATGTGGAAAGCTGTCGAAAACCACACGGGACTTTCTGTAAGCTAAAGATGCTCGCTCTCACTGAGGCCCTCACCATCCGTGTATTCCCTCATATTTAAATCTAATCATTCTCTCTCAATGAGTTTGTACATGAACTGTTTGACCAACAGGTCTAAATAAAAAGCTGTTAAGTCATCAGCTGCACAGTGTGGATTGCATTGGGATATTTACAACACTAAATGTACCAGCTGCCCAAAGAGCTTGTTGGTTTGTTAATGATTATACTTGAAATTATAACGACAAACACTTCCATTATAATCAAATGAAACACTAATTAAAATTATTTGAAAGAAAACGCTTTCTGTGAATCCTTGCTCCAAACTATACTGGATTTAGCAAATAACAAAAAGCTAGGGGGGGCAGACAGGTGCGCTATGTCTTTGCCGTTCTCATCACAAACGCATGTATCTACGAGACCCCCGCGCACCCTCTCATCTGTTTACGCACCTTTCATGGGGACTCCGGCTGCTGGCTTATACCACGGGGAGACATACTTGAGAAACAACCACGGCTCCACATTCTTTCATGGTGAAAACACATTTATTTTTTTCATTTGTTTTATATAAATCTGTCTGGGGCCCACTGGATCTTCATTTCCGTGGGGAAGGCGTTTCGGAACACGGCGCGGTCTCGTTCCGCAGCGCTTTAGTTGGAGGTCCTCCTCATGCACACCAGCGTTTCATCCTCATTTAAAAACCCGAGATAGCTCACACGCGTTTATATACTTTGCAATCCAGAACAAGCATTTAGTTTTGCGAAAATATCTTAAGTTAAACTTTCCCATTCGTGCGCCCCGCATCCGCGACCAGATTTCTCATCCACTAAAGCGCCGAGTCTCCCTTTCGCATCCGAAATCTGAACCAAAACAGGAAGGATCCCAGCTCCCAACTCCGGATTACGCAGTGCCACCGCTACTCACTGAAACTGCCCGCTTCAGTTACGGGCCATTCTTTCACATCCAAATGAAACAATACTGGACATGAACAGTAGTGAGTTGCAGCACTGCAGCACCTCAGCAGCATCTCGGTAACGGCGCACTGGATGGCTTGACGCAGCGCGCCAAGTACGGAGCGCGGCGTATCCGCATCTCTCCGTTTGTAAAGACCTGCATGCCAAATGATAACAAACAAAAGCTCGTCTTACCTGTGACCATACAGCAAAAAATCAGGTGTAACGCCGTCATTTTAGTTGCTCTTGCCGCTGATTGTGTTGCTTGGAAAGATGATCTCAGCTCCGTAGCGTGCGAGCTGGTTGTGGTCCAGTCCGCGGCACCGGGGTACAACTGGACGCAACAATGCGCACTGGGAGTCGCCTAGAATAGCATCCAGTTACCAACGAACGCCTCCGAATGGTCCCGAACAGTTTGTAAACTCTCAGTTCAACAAAGCATCTCTCTCGTAGTTGATAACTTTCCGGGCAGGAGGATCAGCTCCTTCTCCAGCGTCGGGTCCCCTGTCACTGCGCTCTCCAACAGTCCGTCCGCTGACTCGCGCGTTCCAAGCTGCGTTCCGCTGTCCACTTTGTAACCAGCGCGAGGACGCTGCGCTCGGAACGGTCTCAGTGCTGAACCCCGGTGAAGTTTCCCTCTCGTCTCTCCCCCACCCGCGCGCTCTGCTCCCTCTGTGACACACTGAGTGTTTCTCTCCCGCACACGGTCTCCCCTGTTCACTGCTCACTCCCTCTCACCAATAGGAAATGCGCACTGACAGTCATCTGGTAAGGGGGGGGGGGGGGTATTTTGAATCTGGCAGGAGCTGAGTCGCAGGAGACCCTCTGCCACAGTTGGGGCTGGGGGGGGGGGGGGGGGGTCCAGTGCTCCCGCCCCACTCCCCAGGGCCCCGTTATTGGCTGAGCCGGCGGGGAGAGGTATTTAAAACACTGAGCTAAATGGCTAACTTAACATTTTTTTTCACGGAGACCTTAATCAAGTTGCAGAGGGAGAAGCCAAGAAAAGTGTTTTTGACCCAAATCACCAATGGGAATATTTCCTTTTTTTAAACGTTTCATCGTTATCACAAATCCAACTATCTAGATTTGCCTATTTCATATTAGCTTTGTGATGTGATCTTTTCATGCTGATTGAATAGTAACTTCCCCTCGGCTGTTATTGCTGAATAGTGAACAAACCTTGCTTTTGTCAACAATGGGTCCATTTTTGATTATTAAAAGTTGGTATCTAGTTTAATGTTTTGCCAAAAGTAGGAAACCATAAACTGAGTCTAAAACCTCAACGCTCACAAAGAATCATCAATTACTTGATTAAACTGTCAGCATCAAATACAAGTCTTTTAATTACCCCCAGAACAACTTGTGTTATTCACTCTATCGCGCTTTCTGTTAACTCAACAAGGTTTTTATTTTTAATTGAAGTACCTTAAGATCTCATTTGAGCGGATGTTCATTGTCATACAGTAGGCGCTAAAATGAATGCAGAACACAATCATTATCATATTTCAACAAAAGCTAAGGTCTTTTATAGAGTGATGAAACACCGTCTATCACTCGCCCGTGGCTGCTTATAGGCTTGTTCTTTGATGTTGTTCATTTGTTATTCAAGGTTCTATTGATTAACTAAAATAATAGGCCTCGCAGTCATCTGTTTAATCAGTCTTCCCCTTGTGTGTGTATTGCACCGAGTAACAACTTCATTTAATGTCAACATCCCCCCACCCCACCCCCCCACGCACCTCCACTTTCTAACTCAACCGGGCACACATGTGGCCCGTTAGCTCAGCCAGGTGGTTATTGCTCCATCAGGCCGTGAAAAATTCATCAAAGAGTGTAGATTTGGACACCGAGGACTTCGGCAGGTGTGCTTCGAAGACAACACCGTCCACAAGAATACGTCTTCCTTTTTTTTTCGACATTTAAGCTGCATTTAATTGAAGGCTGATGATGAGAGCTCCCTCATCATGAGGGTCCCTCCCTCCCTCCTCCCCGCCACACAGTAGTTTTCAAACCCCAGGGCCGGCCTTCCTGTTTATTGCCTCCCTGTAATGCAAACATAAGGGTCCCCTGCCAGTAAACACATGTTGATGGAAGAAACAGCTTGCACAGCTGGGAAGCCAACCCAGGTTTAGTGTGAGTAAGCACATGGGTAAATGAACCCGTCTCAATGTGTGTTTGTTAGTGTGCAGGAATAGATGCTTGTTTGTTGTTTTTCTAACACATGTCACAGTGCCATTTGGTTTGTGAGTTGGCACTTGAATGTGAGAGATAGAGAGTAATAAAAATAAGTTGTCCTTTTTGTTGTGTGTGTGTGTGTGTGTGTGTGCGTGTGTGTATTGGCCCCAGTGTTTACGTGTGAACCCATCAATGACTGACTGACGACGGGGGATTGGGTGAGCAGTAAAACAGCAGTGGGCCTCCACCAGTTGTGCTGTGATAATAAAATCAACATCCATTGTGCAAAGTCTGTCACCAGGCATGATGCTGTGATTGAAATGTATGATCTCCCATGGCTCCCACAGATGGACAAATGGATGAGGGCAAAGCAGATGATACACCAGTTTGGGCCAATAGTCTTAATTATGCTGGCCTCCGTGGCATCAAATGGAGGGCGTCGATACTCCCCAAGCTTTTGGGTGTGTGAATAATTTATGAATTAAAAAGGGGGTTTTCAACTGTGGGTTTATTAATAATAAATATGGTTTGATATTTACTAAACTGTTGAGAGGGAGAAAGGGGTGACAGTTAAGACATCGTTTGCATGGTAATTGTAAGGAGATAATAAATAAGGCATGAAGTGGAGATATATGGAAATGTGATTCATAGGGAAATGAGAATAATTTAACAAATATTATCCCAGTCCCTATTTGACCCGGGGTCAATTAAAAAAGAAATGTCAGTTGTGGTGAACGGCATGCTGGGCTCTAAATTATAATCGCTTGCTTTTCTCTTTTGTCTCGCAGGAAAGCAGATCTAACGTTCAAGGGGAGGAAAATGTATTCATACATACACAAACCATGTGTTTAGTTTAAATGAATATTAAGCTGAATAAAATCAACCTCGTTATCTATCCCAGAAAAATAAGCCTCTTCTCTCTCCAGACTCAATTCGGTACAGCGTGTGCTAGAAGTTGAGGAATGTGAGGTTTTGTTTGGTTTCAAAATCTTGTACTGCCGAAGAAATACTTCACATAGTTGAATGAAAATACACATTATAACACTTGTTATAAACCGTTTTTGAGAAAAGGAAATGATCATATATATCAACATTGTGTGAACACTAATAATTTCCCTCTAATTGAATGTATTATAAATAATACCTTTTCAGGACTCTGGAACATTGATTGCCAAAACATGTTAGACATACAAGGAATTTGACTTGGCGGTTGGTGCACAACATCAGACAGTAAGACAATGGACAACAAGACAGATAAGACGACATATCGCAAGAACAACATAGTGCAAGAGGAATTTAAATTAAAAATGGATTTGAAATATGTGCTGCTGGATTGGTGCTTATACTTCCTTCTCTATATACTATGGCTGCGTTGGATTGTTCCAGGGTTCATGCTGCTATCCATATGAGAAACATTACACCCGCTTTTACTGTAATTGTGATATTGAATGTTGAGCTGATCTGTGTCCACCATAACTCTAAACGCTGCTACAAGCTCATAACTCATAGCGACATATACCTTTGCTAGCAAGTGGTATCCATCTGCCCCGGCTAGTGAGCAATTCTTCTCTCTCCCATTCCAATAATATGACGTCAGTCCACTGCACTGGTCTGAAATCTGCAATTAGGCACTTTCTTTATGTGTGATTGACGAGCAGGAGGAGGGCCATTAAAGCTGAACACTGACCCGGGGCTCACTCTGCAGTCTGCAGGACTGTTCATATCAAATCCATGTCCTCTGCCCCAATATCAGAGTATGACTCTGGCCACCCATGGATTTTGTTTTTGGCTGTAATGAAAGTCTCTCTGGGGATCTGGTTGAGGGATTCTTTTCCTCAGGGTTCAAGGAGAGGTCGAGGCTTCTGGTTCTAGCTGCGCTTAGAAAAGGGTGTGGGTTACAGGAATGTGGCTGTTGGAACTCCATTTCCACAGGCATAGAAAATATCTGCGGTCTGAAATAACAGTAGTCATGCGTGTAATGTGTGTAGGTATAGGCGCACATGATGATAAATCATCACATCAAAAATCTCAGGCTCGGATGCATATTTATCAGGACCAGGACCAATGATTTGCTGGAGTTGTCAAGGTTTTTAACTCAGATTACGATTTCTTTACCGACGCCGTCATAAAAATGCATTTTAACCCCACCCCACATCTTGCAAGCCAGCACTTTGTCAACCCGCTCTGCGTTTTCACCCACTCCTTCAATAAAGTAATTACAATATCCCCCGGAATTTAAAATCAGATTGATTGGGTCCTTGGCCCGCCTAGACGTGTCTTCGCTGATAAGTACAGCAGTAAGCTGTCTAAAATATTCATGCCGTGATGCAGAGTTGTTGTCCCTTGATGGGCCTCACCGTGTGCAACATCTGTTCCTGATGTCATGCACGCTTCTGTGTGCCAGAAATGCCCCGATGGCGTCTGTGGCATCTCTGCTGTAGTAAGTCATGTCCAAACACACAGCGCTCCACTCGGCTGCGATAAATATCTGGGACGATAGTGATCCAGCCGCCTGGACAGAACTATTGAGCACTTTTGCCATCCATACGCGTAGATTATCCACTGCAGTCTCGTAATGACATCAGCGACTCGCTGGCGGCCACGTCAGTTGAATGTTGCTCAACCAACAGTTTGTGACTACACGGCTCCTCACACCATGTAGCACACTCTTGTAATACAACAAAACCCTCCTACTGCAACTAACACATTAAAACACCAATGCATTGTTAGTTGAGCTCAACAACAGTGTGATTAATGTAATTTTACTGCATTATTTTACTTTTGTCGGTGCTCCAGCCGAAAACTCCGAAAAGTTTAAAGTAAGCAGCCACGTTACTTCGACCAGCCCACAGTTTGACACTGACCTGTCATGTGATGGGACATGAAGGAGTGACAGCGAGGGGGACAGAGTCAGCAGTAGCCGAGGCGAATCCTGTCCTGGGTAGCGCCCACACGAGGTCTCAGCTACGCAGAGCTTCCTTCACCACTGGGCGTGCCTCTCCGTCGGCTGACAATCACAGGAATAGGCCACGACTGGCTGCTTGTTCTGTGCCATGATCCCTTGCTGCTAATGCTGTTGAAAAAATAAATAACCGAGCGCTGCACTGCTATAAATAATGGATGACTCGTCCACTGTCACTTTTCATAGCATGTCACGCCCCGGCCCAGCCATTATTAGGGTCTGTCCTCTTCCCCTTTCCGCCTCTGACTCCAGTTTTGTTATTGTTCTGGTCGACTTGCCTGCACACTACCTCAGGGGGTCGGCCGTTAGTCTTCTCTGGGTTAGTGCCGTTGATGGTTGCCACGGAGAAGAAAGAGCTGCTTTGAGGGTTTGAAACAAGATGGGTGATACAGCAAGCCACAGCAGGAAATCTGTCTTGACCGGGAGCAGATAGCCGAGCACTTTCAGCTAAGATATTATCTGCCTGCTTGTGTTGGATAAACTGTGCTAAGTTGCAGCCAGGGCTTTGGGTAAGAATGTACCTTGTCAGGTTGAAACAGACTTTCTGTTGCCCTTGCA